GTCCATGTTGAGTGTGGTACACAGCATGTCACCAATCAGCACAGTGAGTATACAGGGGGTAAAATAAGTATTGAACACGTCACCATTTTTCTCAGTAAATATACCAGATGTTGGTAACAACCCAAGTGATCCATACATACAAAGAAATCAAACCATAAATGTCCAGAAATGAAGTTATTTGTAATAATGTGGAATGGCACAGGGGAAAAGTATTGAACACACTTACTGAAATTTATCTAATAATTTGTACAAAAGCCTTTGTTGTCAATGACAGCTTCAAGATGCCTCCTGTATGGAGAAAGTGGCATGCATTGCTCAGGTATGATTTTGGCCCATTCTTCCACACAAACAGTCTTCAAATCTTGAAGATTTCGTGAACCAGGCTGCTTCCCCCAAACAATTATGTTTATCATTGGATCCCTGCAGCTGCTGACCTTGGGTCGAAAACTATCAAACCTCCCTGGATGACACGTGAGGGAAAAAGCCTTGACTCCCCCCCCACCCCCCATCCCTACCTGCTTCACCCGTGGGTGGATCAGTCTGAAGGCTGCGATGGGTGGAGACAGAGAACTGACTCTGGTGATTTGTGCTTTTTGTTGACAATAACTTGTTTGGACTCTGGAGGTCTCTGATTAGTTCCAACATGGAGTACTAACCTGGAACGTCACCGGCTCTGCTGAACCCCACCCCATACCATGTGTTTGTCCACCCACACCCCCCTCCCCTCCTGCGCTGCCTTGCACTATGCAGAGTGGTTTTTTTGGGTGCATGATTCTGTGTTTCTGTGTAAAACATAGGATCAAAGCTCTTTTTTAACTCACCTTTCCTAGTGTGTGTGTATTTTAAGCTACAAAAGGTAGCACACCTTAGTGCGAAAGGCCGTGGACATTCATCCTCCCATGTTTGTTACGTGTGTCTTTCTCCAAACGGATGTTCTAAACTGCAAATTCCCAGTCTGTGTTTATCACTGACAATAGCAATAAAGCTCTTTCTGATTCTGATTCACTATACTTTTAGGGCTAAACTTAAGACTTTCCTTTTTGATGAATCATTTAGTTAGAGATGGTCTTCTGAGTTATTCCTCAGTACTGAGACTTCAGGTTTAGACTGCTGGAAGACAAACTGACCACATTTCCTCACTCCACTGTTATCTTTAGTCACTTTCCTCTACGTGTTTGCTGTTATAGTCATTTCCATCAATAACGTGATTTTTATTTCTTTCTCTTCCAAAGGAAAAGACACCTGGACGAGTCCTTCTGTGTTTCTTTCTTGTCCTCTCAAACCCCAGTCGATCGAGGCAGATGGCCGCTCGTCCTGAGCCTGGTTCTGCTGGAGGCTTCTTCCTGTTAAAAGCGAGTTTGTTTCTTTCCACTGTCGCCAGTGTGCTGCTCAGGATGGGAGAGTGTGATGAAGTGAAGATTCAATGAAATGTGCTGGCTTCTTTAGATTTATTGTTTTTTGTGGACAGTGCCCTGAGACGACAATTGATGTGACTTGGCACTATATAAATGAACTGAAATAGATTTACGTTATTGAAATCTCTACAGTCTAATCAGTGTTTAAATCACACTCATACACCAACGGGACACACATCAGAGGCAGGAGGGTTTCAGTGTTTTGCCAAAGGTCACTTCAACATGTGTTTGAATAGCTGTGGAATTTAACCCTCAGTTTTCTCATTGGAGGACAACTCCCCTAACTGCTCAGCCCCAGAAGACCAGATATTTCATCATTTTTTGGGAAATTACCTCCCACAGACTCAGCCTTGTACAAAGTTAATTATTAGTTATGTCCTGGGTATATTTATGACATACATAAACATTCTGTCAGACATAACCAGACTTGCTTATTACCAGTTCTTTGCTTGTCAATCGTCTGAGAAGTTCACAGCAACATGGGGAACATGCACTGTCCTGCTGAAGATGCAGCCCACCTGGCTGCTGTTGCTCGAGACATCTGTCCCTTCCCAAGCTACAACTACAGTCCTCATTTTGTCCACATGATGTCCATCAACTCTTCACGTAACCTGCATGAGCACTACACAGCAGTGCAGCGCTCGTTGACTCCCAAACAGCTGGAGGACTTCACCCAGAGTCTGAGGACCACTTTTGGCCGTGAGGGTAAAGTGACTCTGGGTGGGGTGGGTGTTGTGGCTCTGTCTCTGGCTGTGCTGTTTGATACTCTTGCCAAACAAGTCAGGGGAGAGGTGGTGTCTGATGCGGGGCCCATCCCAGGGCTTTTTGTCAAAGACCCACGAGGTTATTACCCGCCTCAAGTCGACACGATAAGCAAATACCTGAGACTGGTGCCTCACATTGCTAACAATCCCGACAGGATGAAACAAGAGACAGCGAGGTGGGTGATAACTGTCTGTTCTTTGGTCAAATTCATTCACTTTGTTGTATCTGAGTGTTTTCACTCAGCCTGAGCTTATGTAATCATGTTCATGTTTTTCTTAAAGGTTTTTATATCAGTTAAAAGCTGATGAAGAAGATTTGAATCAACCTGGAAAAAACAACTCAGTGCCATTACATGAAGACGTCACTCTCATCAATCGGATGCTTGGGTTTTTTTTTACAGTTGGTTTGAAAATTCACCTTCAGCGTATTAGCAATGTGACCTTAGATTATGATGTGACCTTAGATAATAAGAATAGCAAGTCGCTAGATAGTACTGTCACCTTCAATTTAAATTGTGACACAGAAGCAGCTGAAAAAGACTTCTTGGCAAAAGTGGAGAGCTCTGAAAATCTCACAAAGCAAGCCTTTGAGGCCTGCAAACCAAAGGACTCTGCTTGGTTCTTGTTTTTGATCGATCCTCGGGATAGGAGGTCAATGCCACTGTTACGCCATGTTGCAAAATTAGAGTTTGTCGATGTCATGCTCTTCCCAATGTTTTCGTTTGGAAACAATGACCGAGACGACTTTGTTCGCCAAAGAGACAACTTTGACCTGAAGGTTCATGCATTGGGGAAATGGCCTTAATCCAGTTATTGTCATACAAATAAGTATGAAGTTTTTTTCCCCCCAAAAGATGTCTCAGTAAAATTACACGTATTTGAACTAATGTCTTATTTTTCCTTTTTTTTATCTAAAATGAACGAGGTAGTTTGAAGTGGTGGGAAAAGATTTATGAACTAACATTTTACCTGTTGCAGATACCTCTAGCATTTCAGGTCCAGCCTGGATTATCATTAATTGTCTGCAAAAATAACTGCACAATGTAAAACTGAAGATGATATAATAGCATCTGCATGAACTGTTATTAAATTTGAAGTTTGGAGTAGTTGAAATTATTTAAAAGATTTATATCACCAGCTCAGATATTTAGAAAACTGATGGTAGATTTGCAATAAAAATTACAATAAATAATTAACTAAGTCAAATTGTATCTACAAGGCTTAAAATAAAAAATAAAATAAAATCAAATCCTAAGCCTGAGAATTGTTTTTATGGTGGTCATAGAAAAGAAATCATAACATATGTAATGTTGCTCTTGCCAATCTGTAAGAATCTGTGTGAAAATCCACACTTAAAATTACATAAAATAATATGGCAGTTGAGTATTTGCTTCCCTCAGAGCCTGAGACAAATCAAGGATAGGTAATTTTTATCCAACATAGTCCTTACAGGGCTCCGTGGTTTATTGGTTCATTTTGTTGTTAACATTTTTTTATTCAATACAAAGTTTTGTCATTCTCAACATTCTTTCTGTAATTAATGGTAAATGACTTGAACTTATATAGTGCCTTGGGTGATCACACACACATTCACACATTGATGATGGTAAGCTGCATTGTAGCCACAGCTGGCCTGGGGTGAACTGACAAAGGCGGGGCTCAAACCCTCTCACAACCATCAGTAAGCAACCTGGTGAAGTGTCTTACCCAAGGATACAACAACCGAGACAGCTGGAACAGGGGTTCCAGGACGACTCCCCTAACCACTCCACCACAGCCGCCCCCAACTATAATCTTGCAGCCAGGAGGTATCACAGATCATGTATCATCACCTAATTTTATTTTACCCAAGTCCTAAACTGAAAATTCTCAATTTTTATGACAAACCATGAATATCTAAAAATAACAGTCAAGGGTATCTGTAGGTTTTACCAAGTCATATTTTAGACCTTAATAATTCCGCCTTAAATTTAATTCCATATGCAAAATAAATAAATAAATAAATAAATAAATAAATAAATAAATGTGATCTCTGGGGATCCTGCTGTATACTACAATCAAGCATCCAGTGTCACTCAATAAAACAGTTGAATGTATATGATTTTCATCAGTGCTCTCTGGTTCAATAATTGTACTGCACAAGTGCAGTTATTTGGTTGGTAACATTCAGCAACAAAGACATCTACTAACTGCATTCATGGCATGGAGCTAAATTGTCTCAAACCAATAAAGTCTCCAGTTTTGCAATCTTACACAAAGAAGTCATCCAGCCAACCAACCATCACTTTAACCTGCACCGTTATGAAGGAAGAGAGAGTTTACATGAATCTTTTCTGCTTACTTTTAACTCATTTTATTATTTTGAATTGAGGGGTTATCTGACAGGCCTATAGATTTGATGCGTTGACAGGAAAACTGTAGAGCTGGCCTTTTCTGCTGTGAGTATAAAACAAAACAAACAAAAACGAATTTTCCAATTTTGCATTTATTGTCAAATCAACTGATTTGTAATTAAATATAGGCCTCAAAAGGTGTTTTTTTAAAAAAGCATTTTTATTTCTGTTATGTTTTAAAAAACCCGGGAAAAAGATGACATCCCAATGTGCCACACACAGAAACACACACGCGGGTTCATTGTGGATTAAACACAACTGAAGGTGGAGCAAAAAAAAGTGAAGGTTTGTGGCGGTGGAGTTAATCCTCACAGCTGTCAGGACACGGAGGACGCACACAGAGATGGACAAGAGTCTCCGCGCGGTTTTGGCACATTCTAGGAGTAAAACAGTTCTACTGTATAAAGATGGACATAAAGTGATGGTATCGCTCGTGCGGACACTTTAATGGCACAACCAGAGACAGAACTGCTCACCATCTCCTTAGGAACAGAGATGGTGTCCAAAGTTCTGCTGCGAGTTGGTGAGTTCACACACCTGCAGGAAAATCAGACATCTACTCTGTTTTTATAAAGACACTGCATGGAGGATAAAACAGCTGATCAGCTCTTGTTTTTGCTTTATTTTTTAGCTGACCATTGCTTGATTAATAGATTGAATTTTTAGCACGGTAGGGCAAAAATTTATGAAACAAAAGTAACGGGGAAACAATAATAAAATAGTTGAATAAATAAAATAAAATAGTTATTTATTATTTATTCATTCGGATCCTCTCTCCAGTCACTGCCTTGGCTGAGACTTCTCTTCCTGGGGTAAAACAAAAACCTAAAAACATATTCAAACAAATCGGTCAAGATGACTGCACAGCAAAACAGCCAGTACAAACACCCAGACAACCAGCTTCAGCACATTCAAAATAAAACACACTCATACACGTCAAATAATAGATTACAAATAGACAAAAAATAAAGAGACAATTAATTGACTTAAATGAATGAAAACACACACACACACACACACACACACACACACACACACACACACACACACACACA